TAAAAAATGTTAAAATAATTATAAAAATGTTTTGCAGCGTGGTTCGCAAATTTTTTTTATTAAACAAAATAATTTTCAGTACAGTATTTTTTTTCTGGCGAAGAGGAAATTCATTAAAAAAATGCTATGGCATCAGTTTTTGCGTGAAAAATGCTTAAGAAGAATAAAAAATGTTAAAAAAATTATAAAAATGTTTTGCAGCGTGGTTCGCAAATTTTTTTTATTAAACAAAATAATTTTCAGTACAGTATTTTTTTTCTGGCGAAGAGGAAATTTATTAAAAAAAATGCTATGGCATCAGTTTTTGCGTGAAAAATGCTTTGGCTACGAATAAAACGGTTTTCGGCGCGATTAACATGAAAAAAGCTGGTCATAGGAACGTTTTTACGAGGCGTTGTCATTTCCCGCTGTTATGGTCAGATTTAATGCCTAGCATACCGTTGGCAGGAGGAACTATGCGGACTCCAGACATATTTTCCGAATAGAACCTGATTGTTTTCCTGACTTGAATGGTTTAAAAGCAGAGGGTTTTGACCAGTGGCAGTCGACAGGATTGTCCGCGGATTTTCCTTGGCCCCCGGCGAAGAAAACCTCGGCATTTTTACAGCGCATCACATTCCGCGTCTTTGTTGGTGGGCCGGGATATAATATACATTTGTTTTTTTTTATTTTATTTTGCTTCGTTGTCGGTATTTTTATGCTTGTAGATTCGTGTCGCAACTGGGCATAGTAGGCAGTAAATTTTTCGACTCTCTTTTCTGACCGGTTGAGGGTCCAAAAGTCCGGAGGAGCTGATGGAAGAAAGAGGGCCGTAAGAAACTTGGTGAAATTAGGCTCGAGAGATGGAAATTCTTCGAATGGAAATTTTCCGAAATTTATTTTCAGAGTTGAATTTGATTTGAATACTCCAGGTTGAAAGCTGAGGGTAGGTTACATTTTAATTAATTCAATAAGTTTTTCATCTTGACGATACAGCAATCGAGAATTAATTTTCATTCTCAAGTGCAGTACGCGGTTTATTTTTTCCTCCAGTGCTAAGAATACCCTCATCCAAACAATTACAGCATTTCAATTGATTATTGGCTTTCGGATGAATTTACATTTTTCCTCTTCATAGAACGTATAGTATTCAATGAGTACAGTCACATTTTTCGGTCGATGAAATCAAAGATTTAAACCGGATTTGAGCGAAATTTTATTGAGTTATAATTTTTTGCGTACGTCATAGGAATTTTGTGAGCTGTTTTGCGGTTATTTTCCGTTATGGCTTTTATTTGTAGTTGAATATATCGTCTGGAAAATGGCTTACCTACATTTTCGTGGATTTTCCGGCCTTTCGTTTTAGCCCTGTTTCTGTGAAATACTTCTCTCAGGGAATGGATTCGTCACGTTCTCGGCTTGGGGTTCCAATCGGTCGGTTGGCGGCAAACTTGAAGAAGATTGGTTGCTCGGGTTATTCATCCGAATGACCTCATGGGTTAGAAACAGTCTGATCCCCGTTCTTGAGTAACTGAAAACAAAGTATGTATAAGGTGGAGAAGCAAGCAAAGAATGTTCCATTTCCGGTTTTCATCCCATTGTTGTGAAGGGAGGAACTTTTCGCATGATCCCAAAAAAGCGGAGGAAATATCGGAGTATACAGTACTATAACTTCGATTCATGGTTGTGAATCTTTTGAGACGGTTCATTTGAACAAGACTTTGATTCAATATTTTCTCAAGCATTTTTCCTTCACGGCTATTTAATTTAAAATGATTTTATGCGTAGAATCATTCTGAAGATTCCCGCGGTTGGGCTATCATTGCAGATGGATGATTTATTTTAATCTTAATTTATGGGAACAATAAGGGTTGCATTTTGCAGTCACTGATTCCAGTGATGATTTTCACTTGTTTGCATAATTTTAAGATATTTTTGAACATGAGGAATCTGTCCCTAATAGTGTACAAATATGGATGACACAGGGTTTCCTGCGTTTCTGTCTCATACTGCGAAAGGCATACAATTATTCGTG